CGTCTGGTGCAGCACCGTCTTGCCGAGCTCCACCCCGGGACCGCTGAGCAGCATCTCCGAGAGCATCTCCAGCGGCTCTTTGCCGCGAATCGTGCGACGCGCCGAGGTGCTGCACATGTCGTCTGTCGAGCCGCCAAAGTGCTGCCGAAGCTCTGCGAGTTTCTCGTGCCCGACTCGCGCGCGCGGCTTAACCGGCCAGCGTTTCACGACCATATGGCGAGGATTGCTGCCGTCAGATTTCAGAGCGAATACGGCGGAATCATCGGTCACGCCACCGCATCCCCGTGATACTTCGAGCACAAGACAGCAAGACTCCAACGCAGGGTCTCCGCTTGGTCTCCGAAGAACCGCAGAATTTATCCCACTGGCATCGCGGATGCCGAGGGGAATGCCCGCCCTACCGTTGAAACAGGTGCCCGGGCACTTGCGGCTCACTGGAGCCAGGTTCACGCAGACGTTCCTTCGCAGAGGGCTGCCCGCGACCAGTTGGAAGAGCACATCCAGAAGTTTCAAGTAGATGTTGGGTGGAGGCTTTCGGATACCCAGTTTTACGATGCTCTGGACTCGCTTTGGGACTCTGCCTGGTCGGAAGGGAACGACTTTGTCAGGTGGGCGGCCATCTCGATGTATGAACACCGTCGGTTTTAATTCCGGCAACTCTGCTTTCCCGCGATGGGCTCGCTTGACAGGAACGGGAATGAGCTTTGGGGAACCCCCGAATGACGAGACCCATCTTCCTCTCGAGTGCCATCAGCACAATCGTCGCTGCCGGTGCAAACGTGAAGCTCAAGGTAAACTGCGTCGACACGACGATCGGCATTCAAAGTGGTTTCGTCAAACATCGTGACATGCTACATAATCTCATCGAGTTCGAAACGCGCATGGCGGTGGTGGCTGGGGCCCAATGGCCCAATGGCGAGGCGCCGCTGGGGCCATCCTCCTGGACATCAAAGCGGCCTTTCCGAGCTTAAATCACGAGTGGATCTTTTTCGCGTTCGAGAAAATGAATGTCCCCGACTTCGCGCTGCACGCCATTAAGGCTATGTATTCTGAGCTGGCCACAAACATTATTTTAGGTGGTGTGTCCTCGGTTTCCTGTCGGTCTTTGAGGGGCATCAAGCAGGGGTGCCCGATGTCTGGCAGTGTTTTCGCAATGGGATTCGGCCCCGTACTCAGAGCATTGCGTCTTAGGCTCCCGAGGCCCGTTAGTTTGCACGGCGCATTCGCGGACGACACGGCGTCCGCCTCCCACGACATCTACGCTGCGCTTCCAGTCTTCCTGCGAGTGATGATGCTCGCAGGGCGCGCCGCAGGACTTGCCCCGAATCTGGTAGGAGGGGAGGAAGTTCAGGGAGAGATGGATCCAGGTGAGGAGCTTCGCCATGACTAAGTGTGCTCGGTATCTCGGAGTGGCGCGTGGCATCGGTGCCCAAGGCGAGCCCTGGCGAGCCCCTCTTGTGAAGTATCGAGACAGGTGAAAATTCGTCAATCTCTCAAGTTTGGCCTGACACTGTCCGTGCGCGCGTACAGCCAGAGTGCCTTCACGGCGTTGATGTTTGTGGCGCAGTCTTGTCGGCCGAATCACGACTATGATTGGAACGTCCATCTTGGGCTACAGTCTTTCACCTGTGCTGCTCGGCATGGTCTCCCAGATCCCACGCAGATCATTATCTCTTCGTCAGGCGGCAAGCAGAAGCGTATCTCGATGCCCCCTTTTCACCTTGTTTGGGCCACGCCGTTTCTTAAATGCATGTCGGAGAATTTCAAACAGAAATGTTGTCTCCCTGCTGCCCCGGGAAGTTTCGAATTTGGAATTCAAAAGAAGATGTCTCTGCTCATCCTCGAGAAATGGCCCAGAGTTCCCTTTACTGATGCGTTATTTCCTCGTATGAGTTATTCGTCTCGGAGTTTTCCCGAGGTTTGGGTTATGACGATGCAGGACACTCAGCTTTGTTTTATTCGTTTGGGGTGGATTGGGCAAAGGATCGCGCCCTTCGTCCAGTTGAGCCCCCTGCGGAGTATCTGTAATGCTTGGAACACCTCTCGGATATACCGCCAAGCCGCATTAGGTTGCAGATTCTGTTGCCAGTGTTTTGCCGGGGATCGACTCGTTCATTATCTTCAATGTCCTGTGTTTCTAGAAGTGATTTGCTCTTACTTGTCTAGGCTCCCACATTGGTGGGGGGTCGGAGGTGTTTGCTGGGTTCCTACTTTTCCAGTTTCCCCTCTCCAGCGGCGAAGCAGTCTCTCTGGCCATTGCACACGACGTTTTGTTAAACACGTATAGCGAGCTGCGAGCTCAGGGGATCTGCAGTGCCTCAAGAGCCGTCGCTGCGGGGCGGTTCCGCCTTATTCGCCGACGGGATGTCAGGGCTAGGGCCATGACGCGGCACTAAGGCGGCAGGCGGCGCGCCCGAGCTCTGCCAGACAGACCTGCCAATGGGATCGGGGCCCCTACTCCTCCTTTTCCTCCTCCTCCTCCTCCTCCTCCTCCTCCGTTAGTGCGCTGGGTTTATCCTCCTCCTCCTCGTCCTCCTACTCCTCCCCCTTGTCCTTCTCCTCCTCTCCTAATTATCCTCACCAGTTCCAGGTGCGAACCTAGTCGTTTCAGAGCCGGCGGGGTCTGCGACGCCCTCGCCCCGCGGAAGACAACCGTGGCATTGTGGGGCGACTCAGGCACTCCCAGACAGCGTGCGTTGACGCGCATTGGTGCGAGGGGCTATTGTCAAGCACTGGCGAAGCGTCCTATCTCGCTTATAACCCTACCCAGCAATTTTCTAAGAACCGTTTGTGGTGTCCACGAAATGTTCTTAGAACATTTCTGGCGGAGCCTGTCTTGTTTTATCACATCGGGTCTATGTTTTAAGAACCGTGCTTTTGTTATTCGAACTTTTTTGGGTTCTAAGAACATTTCGTGGTAGGGCTACAGGAATGCTGGGACGGTCGGCCCCTGCTCAACCCTGAGGCCCCCAACGCTCCAGGAGAAGGCTCCGTCGTGCTGCTGGAGTTGGCGTTGGAGTCCCGTCGTGCTGCTCACGGTGTTGCCACTGGAGTCCGTGGTGCTGAGCACGACCGTGCTGCTGCAATCCGTCGTGCTGCCCGCGGTGCTGACGCTGGGGCCCGTCGTGCTGTTCGCATGCGTGCTGCTGGAGGCCGTCGTACCGTTCTCGCTGCTGCGCATGCGAGAGTGCTGACGTCCGTGCGGCCAGATGCGGGGGCTAGGATACTGGCGCCAGTGTCCCCAGCGGTGCTGGCAAGGATGATGACGACGGCGGACCAGGCTATGTTAGCGGGGGTGACGGCGTCGGTGCATTCGGCTGTGGTTTTGAGAGTGGTGACGTCGGAGCTCCCTGCTGTGCTGGAGGGAATGCTGGCTTCGGAGATCCTAGCATTGGTCGCGCGGGTGCTGTTGGTGGTGACGAGAATTATGATTGCGATGGCGAGGGTGCTGACGTCCGAAATCTCGGTTGCTCTGGCGGGTATGCTGGCGTCGGCACTCCTGGCTGCGCTGGCGAAGCTCCTGGAGGCGACGCTCCTTGCCAAGCTGGCGGGGATGCTGACGTCGGTGCTCCACGCTGTGCTGTCGAGGATGCGGGCGTCGGTGCTCCTCACTGTGCTACCGAGGATGCTGACCACGGTGGCCTAGGCGGCGTGGACGGGGTGGCCGGCGTCGGTGATCCAGGATCTGCTGACGATGATGCGGGGGTCGGTGCTCGGCTGCGCTGGCGAGGCTGGCATCTATGGTTCTGGCTGCGATGGCGACAATGCTGACGTCCGTGACTTCGGCTCTACAGGCGAGGGTGCTGACGTCCATGAGCGCAGATGTGATGGCGAGGATGCCGGCGCTGGTGCGCCCCGCTGTACAGGTGAGGGTGCAGGTGACGGGGATCCAGGCTGTGCTGAAGGGGATGCAGGCGTCAGTGCTCTCGGCTGCGCTGGCGGGGATGCTGGCGTCGGTACTCCTGGCTGCGCTGGGGAAGCTCCTGGCGTCGGCGCCCCTTGCCGAGCTGGCGGGGATGCTGACGTCGGTGTTCCACGCTGTGCTGGCGAGGATGCTGGCGTCGGTGCTTTCCTCTCTGCTACCGAGGATGCTGACCACGGTGGCCTAGGCTACGTCGACGGGGATGCTGGCGTCCCCGCGGGCGACCAGGCAGAGTCCGAACAGCCCACTGGGGCGCTCAGGCGGCCGCAGGCGATATCGGCCGTCAACTTCGCTTGCTGCTCCGCGGCGTCGCTGTGCGTCTGGACCTCTCGCCCAGAACCGACTGCTTGCTGGTCGTTCCGCTGCTTCTTGTGCTGGTCATGCTCGTAACAGTCGTGGTGCTGCTTTCCCTCGTATTGCTCGCCCACGTGCTGGTCGGGAGTTGCTGCTGGTGCCAGTCATGCGTGTAACACTTGTGGTGATGCTCTCCTTCATACGGCTCGTCCTCGTGCTGGTCGCCGCCCCTGGCGCGCTCCGCGCGCCAGGGAGGGGGGTCCAGCGCCGATCCGAGAAATCCGCGCGGACCTCCGTTTGTTCCCTTATCCCAGAGGCCGAAGGACCGACAACGTTCGCATGAGGCAGGCCAGCGCTGAAGGGGGGGAGCGCCGTGCTGGAAGCACCAGAAGCGCGCAGATCGGAAAACCGCATACGAAGACATCCAATTGTGACCAATGTTGTGTAAATGTGAACCATACGCTGAGAGGGGCGCTAGCACACCGTCGGGGGAGAGAAGGGACATACGGTGTGACTGTGTTCGGGGCAAGGGGATGGGAGCAAGAGGAGATGCCATCGTCTGTGTGGCGTAGCTGGTGCTGGATAGCGAAGGAGGGGAAGCAGCAGCAGCAGCAGCAGCAGCAGGAGCAGCAGCAGCAGCAAAAGGACAACGAGGGAACGGACGAGGACAGGGACGATGGCTTGGCTGATGCACGAGGGATACATCGAAATAGCAGGCCGCAACAGGAGCGGTAACCACAGGAGGGGGTGCTGTCGGGCAGATGACTGTCAGTGGGTGGGCCAGGTTTCCGCCAGACGTCGCGTGTTCGTGGTCGACCACAGCAGGCGCGGCCTGTGCCAGACTCCCTTTCTTGCCTCCGCGTTCATCCACCATCGTTCTCTCTCACTCCTCCGTCTGTAGCTTTCTCCGTTCCATCATCCCTCCTGTCTCCTCCCGCTCTTGCCTCTGTACCCTACAGCCTGCCTTGTTTCATCCTGCCCCCTCCATCCTCGCTCTCTTTCATCTGTGTTTGAGTGATTGGGACCTCGTGAGCGCGGATCCATCGTCTGACGGGACTTGTGAGGCCTTACTCGCTTGGATTACGGACCCCAGCTCGGCATTCGCACAGCAGGGGCCAGCAGTCAGGGGGACATGTGGGACGCCATCCTCTTGCGGCACGCACGGACTGGACGGGGACGAATATGGGAACGGATCCGAGACAGCAGCAAGTGGTCCGTCAGGCAGGGCTCTGCGGGCACAATGCAGTCAGTCCTTGTTGCGTACTTTTCGCGGACTGATTGCCCTTCCAGAGTAGCAGAGGCGGCCCGATAGCCAGCCAAATTGTGGTTCGGCGGGCTTCTCAAGTCGAACTCCGTGGACTGGGGCAGCGTCCGACATGGCCCAAGAGTCCTCCAAGGGGGAACTTGGGCGGATGTTTCGAGTGATCAAGGCCCTGAGAGCGCGGACCCCCCCTATTTCGCAGGGCGCTGTTTCTGTGCAGGGCGCTTCAGAAAGGGAGATAACCACATACCACGGAGGATAATCCCACAGCGATAATAATGTTTTGGGTCGCGGGGGGATGCCTCTTCTATTCTCTGTGAGCAAGCTCCTGCTGTCTCCGCAGCTTCTCTGCCCAAGTGCCCCCCGTCGGCCGCGCGTGCGGGCGCCTTATGCAGGCGGTCGCACAAGCGGCTCTCCAGGGCGCTGGGGAGATTTTGTTCAGGGGGCTGCGGGCCGCGCTCTACGAGCGGCTCGTGGCTGCCCCCCTCTCTGTGCTTCAGGACCAGGGGCCTCCATCGCCTGCCTGGTCCATCCAGCAGGCGGACTCGTCCGAGGGTGAGGGGGCCTCCTGCCCTCTCCCTTCGGCGGGTTCCACCTGCCCCACCGTCTGCCTCGGGCTGGCGGTGGACCTGAGCGGCGGGGTCTCTCCCTGGCTGCTCAGCACGGTCGCCGCCCTCCTCTGGGTGACGGCCGCCTGCAGCGCCTGCGCGGGCTGCTGCCTCGGGCTGCTGGGCCCGTACGTGTGGCGGAGGCTCTGGCCCTCCGCCTGGCCGCGCGGCGCGGTTTCTGCTTCACCTGAGCAGGACCGCCGTGCGGCGCGAGCGCTGGCCTACGGGGCTCCGCCTCGACCTCAAGCGCTCGAGCGGGCAGACGCCCAGCGTGCGGGCGGCGGCGTCCACGGCGGCGCCCACTGATGGCGGAGCTGCCACCAGTTGGCGGAGGGCCCCTTTGGCCCGAGCTCTACCCTTTCGCTGCGCCCACGGCGCGCGACTACGCACGATGGCGCCTAGACGACGGCGACACCAGCTGGGCGGCTATCCCCCTCGCCTCTCGAGAAGGGGGCATCCTGCTGGCCCTGCCTGGTGCCTTTCGCTCTACAGCGGAGCTCGAGGCTGCCGAGGCGGATGGCTTTGCTGGGATGATAGGCCCCTTCCAGCTAGTGGACGTCCAGCTCCAGGGGGCCGCTTCACGGCCGCTCGCCACTACCGCATCCGTCCTCGTTATAGATATCGAGGTTGCCGAGCTCGAGCTCGAGTCGCTGTACCCTCTAGAGGTCGGCGACGACGCAGGCATCGTTCCCTTCGCCGAGGTGCGCAGCCGCGTCTATTGGCCGCATCCTTCGGGGGTTCGGGTGCTTCGCGAGGGCTACGCTCGTTTGCACGGCGCCCCGCCTACCGCAGGGGAAGAGCCTCTCCCAGGGGCCGATCGGGCTACCCCCTACCACTCTGCCGACGAGATGGAGGAGCCCGAGGGGTTCGCGGCCGACGGGGAAGCCGACCGCGCGGCCCCAAGTGCGCGAGCCCCCGCGGTCGCTGGAGCGCCGCGCGGCCCGCCCGCCAAGCGCGCTGGCGCCGCCGCGCCGCCACGGGTCGCGGGTCCTGCTCCGATTGCTCCTGGTGCTCCTGCGGCGTCTCTGGACGACGGGGCTCCCATGACCCGCGCCGAGGTAGCTGCCGAAATGCGCGCCTTGCTTGCAGCCCACGCGGCCTCCACGATGGTCGGCGGACCCGAACCGCTGGGCCCCGCTCCGGCTGCCCGGAGCGCTCGGCCCGAGGTGCCTCAGCTTTTCAGCGACGAGGCGGCGCGCCTCGGGCTGGATCCTGCGGGGATCGAGGCCGTCTTGTCCCACGCGCCCGTGGCCCCACATCGGGTCTCCGCGCGCCCCAAGGGACCCACCTCCGCGCTGGTCTCGGCGTGGGAGAAGGCGCGCTCTCTTGCTGTCCCTCGGGCCCCTTCGTCCGCTTCCGGACCGATGGGCCCCCCGCCGCCGCCTGGGCTAGCCCATCCCGCTGCGGTCGACGGCTTTGCCGAGGCGGGCGGCGCCGACGGGTTAGAGCCGCCCCTTGCGGCCAATCCGACGGACTTCAGCCTCATGCTTCAGTGCCTGCACCAGTCCCTTTCCTTGCAGCAGGGGCGGGGCCATCGCCCAGCCTTCCACCCGCTTCTGGGGACCCTGAGCGACCAAGCTCAAACTCCGCCCGCGACCTCGGGCGACCCCGCGCACGCATCGGCTCAGATGGGGGGAATCGCTCGGAGGCGCGAGTGGCAGCAAGCGCTGATGCAGCACGGCCCCGACGTGCGAGGACTGATGAAGGAGAATTTGGCCCGCGTTCTGGGCGTGGAAGTCAGCGCCGTGACCCCCATGGCCATGCATCAGTACTTTCGCGAGCACAGCCCCCTCGGGGCTCAGCCGTCGACGCACGAGTTGTTGACGCATTTTGCCTTCCTCAGCGCCGAGCTGTGGCGGGCCTGCGAGGAGGGCAACCCCGAGAGGGTCCAGACCTTGCTGACTTGCCAGTGCATGTTCATCGACCAGTTGGCGGGGGACCGCGGCTACCTCGAGGCCGCTTGGTTCCTCACGGGGCTGGAGCCTCCCCCGTGTCGCGTGACCAGTCGTCACACGGAGCGCGAGGCCCAGACCCCGTTTTCACCCCTAGTGGATCCTCGCTGGCTGTCGGCGCAGGGCGAATACATGAAGGAGCTGCAAGCATTTCGGGCGCGCCTCGACGCCGAGCGCGCCGTCGCGCTCCCCAAGCATCCACCTCATCAGCCCAAGCAGCCCAAGGTCTCAAAGCCCCCCTTCAAGTCTCAGGGTGCTCCCAAGGCCCCGAAGGCGGTGCCCAAGAAGGACTGAAGATGCCCTTGGCGCCCGCCTTCTTGGAGGGGGGGCCTTCGCGTGGCCGGGGTACGCCGCCGCAGACAGTCTGCACCGACGCTGCTACGGCTGCTAGGCGTGTTTGGGCGCAGCGAGGGCGTGAGGGTAGGAATGCGCTCCTCCAGCGATGCTGTTGCGGCCCCGCAGGGAGGAGTACGTTCCGCCACCACGCCCCTCGCTCTGCTCCGAACCGCCCCTCGGATCCATTCGGCCATTTTGGCCGTCACCTGCCTCAGTCGAGCGCTCCCCCCATGGGGCCTGCAGCCCCTGAGGTTGGTGTTCTTGCTGGTGCTTGTTCTCCTTCAAGCACCCCTGCTGCTCTTGCCAACGTCGCGCCATTTGTCGCTGACTTGTCTGCCTTGCTGCGCCTGTTTCCAGGCGCGAACATTGATATCACCCACTGGGCGGCAGCGCTGTCCCAGGTTGGGATGGGTGCTCGATGTTCTCTTGGATCTTTCTCCCGCTCATCAATGCGTGCAATGGACAGGGACGACCCGTACCTTTTGGGGCCGCCTCCCCGCGATCCTTGGCCGTGCCCGCCTGCTCCACCTCTTGGTCCCCCGCCTGACGGCTTGTCGGCGAGGCGCAGGGAGCGCTGGAGATTGCGGCGCGCGGCGCGGACGCTCGCGCAGTATTCTGTTATTGCGTTGAACTGGCTCACTTTGGGTCATCCTAGCCTCGCTCCCGCCGAGGCTCGTGTCCGCGCCACGGTCTCGCCCTGCCAGGAGGGCGTCCGCACCCGTATCGAACGGTTGTGTCGGATCGCAGTTCGCCTTGCCCGTGGTGGCAAGAGCGACTTAGGTCGAGCCTTCGCCAAGTTCGACTCTACTGAGGTCTCGCTCCATGGCCTGGCCACCCATGTTGCAGCTTTGGAGGCCTCCTTCACCTCCTCTTCTTCCGTGCCCGCCCCCATGCGGCACTGCCCGACCAGCGCTCCTTCCGTGCCTGGTTCGCTGGCGTCTGCGGCGGCTTGGGACTCCACCCAGGTCGAGCCCTTCGATTTAAAAGTCAGGGCGTCTCGCATTAAGTGGGATTACTCGCCAGTGTTTGATCCCATTCCATTTCTCTCTGACGCTCGAGTCCGCGAAGCGTTCATCAATCCAGAGGAGATGCGGCTCCCGGCGTCAGAGTGGCCTGCTGGCCAAAAGGGGGCGCGTGTCCATATGGACCGCGCCGAGCTGTGGGCCCTGCTCCAGAAGTGGGATGCCTGCGGCGCCCTGTACCTGACTCCTGCTTCGGACCTCGCCTGGGATGAAGCCTGCGGAGCTTTCAGGGTACCGAAGGACAGCGACTTCGACAGGCTGATCCTGAACCCAACGGTCGTGAACAGCCGCTGTGCCTCAATCTCGTCCAGCACCCAGCGCCTTGGCCAGGGTTTCCTGCTGTGCCGTTTGGGTCTGGCGCCTGGGGAGTGGCTGGCAGTTTCTTGCGACGACCTACGGGAGTTTTACTACACTTTCCGCGTTCCTCCCGCGCGCGCCAGGCGTAACGCCCTTCGCGTTCGTCTGCCATCATCCCGCTTCAAGGCCTTTCGAGCCTGGCGCCCCGAGCTCGAAGGTGTGGACGTCGCGCCTTGCCTCAATGCTCTAGCGATGGGCGACAACATGGCGGTGGAGATTGCCAACTCTGCACATGAAGGCGTCTTGCACAGCTTCGGGGCCTTGCGGCCTCACGAGCAGGTTGTCCACC